TCTGTCTCATAGAGTGGGTGAGGATAAGAAATATTGACCACCAAACCTCAAAGGAGAAAAACCTTAGTCGTCTACTGGCAGCTGGGATAAAATAAAGCCCTGTGTTACAGAATACATTCAGACAGAAAGAGCTTCTATTCTTCTGTAATAAAACTGAGTAAAGAAGGTTAAAATGCTACAGATTGTCTGTGTGGTGTGGGAGAATTGTCTGTATTCTGTCAATTATGTTTAAAATAAATACTGATTGGTCAGTAGCCAGGCAGGAAGTATAGGCAGGACAACCAAATAGGAAGTAGAGGCAGGGCAATGAGAACAGGAGTATTCTGGGAAAAAGGAAGTTCTTCCTACAGTCCTGCCCAGACCACAGAAGAAGGAGGATGTGACCTGCCCCACTGAAAAAGGTACTAAGCCATGTGGATAACATATACTAGAATAATAGGCTAATATAAGTTATAAGAGCTAATATGAAGTCTAAGCTAATGAGCCAATCAGTTTATATCTAATGTAGACTCTCTGTGTGATTTTATTTGGGATTTACTGGCTGCGGGAACAGAGTAGGACAGAAACCCCCACAAGCATGGGCCTCAGTCAACATCAGTGTTCTAAGACACAGTTGCATTTTGTAAGTAAATGTGTGTAGGCTTCCTGTAAGCTTTTGCCAATTTACCATAAAATTTAAATTTTTTTTTTACATATTCCTCAACTGTTACTTTTATTTTTTTTTTGACAGAGTAGGTCAATAAAGACAATCCTGGCACTAATCTGGAAGTGTTTGTCAAATGATATGGAACCTCCTTTCTGTATTTGTGGAGGGGGTAAAATTTTATTTATTTATTTTTAATTGTTTTTATTGAACTACATATTTTCCCCTCCCCTCTCTTATTCCCCCTTCCCTTTATACCCTTTCTAGTGATCCCCATGCTCCCAATTTACTCAGGAGATCTTGTCTTTTTCTACTTCCCATGTAGATTAGATCCTTGTAGGTTTTTTGGGAGTATACCAGTTTGCATTCCCACCAGCAGTGGAGGAGTGTTCCCTTTACCCCAGATCCTCTCCAGCATAAGTTGTCATCAGTATTTTTGATCTTGACCATTCTTATAGAGTTGTTTATTTGCATTTCTATAATTGCTAAAGATGTTGAGCATTTCCTAAGTGTCTTTCAGCCAGACTTTAGATTCCTCTGTTGAGAGTTCTCTGTTTAGGTCTGTACTCCATTTTTTATTGGGTTATTTGTTCTTTTGATGACCAGTTTCTTGAGTTCTTTATATATTTTGGAGATCAGCCCTCTGTCCAATGTGGGATTGGTAAAAATCTTTGAGCCTTTTTTTCAACAGCAAACAATGTCAGGTGTTTCCCCAGAACAAAGTAGTTCCTTTTAATTAATGACTATTAGAAATAAGAAGAATTGGCATTGATTTTTGAAGCTCTGAAAGTCAACCAATGTTTCAGAAAAATGAACTGTTTAATATCTAAGTACCTGGACTCACTAAGGTGACATATCTAGGTTATAGGCTCATCATGCCTTTTATATAACTTGACAACTTACTCATTCTATATTCCAATTTACATCATAATTTAGATATTTGAATTTGGGGTTTTGGTTTCTACATCACACCACTAATTTTAATGATCTCTGATTATAATTATGTGCCTCCAAATTGGCAATAGGAAGCCATCAACTACAACTACAAATCTCAGTAGATTTTTTTTCTCTAGGCTATAGAACTATATAAACAGGTATACAACTGAAAACTGCCTCACAAGAGTACCTTTTCTCTGTCTTTGTGAAATTATTACAGCTAGTTTTCCCTGAAATTGTTACCACATATTTTTAATTAAGAAAATGTATAAACTATATGTTTTTCCTTTGGTTCACCTTCTTACTTAGCTTCTTTGGGATCACCAATTGTAGACTCCGTGACCCTTGTTTATGGCTAGAAACCAATTATGAGTGAGTACATCCCATATTCATCTTTTTGGGTCTGGGTTACCTCACTCAGGATAGTGTTTTCTATTTCCCTCCATTTGCATGCAAAATTTGAGAAGTCATTGTTTTTTACCGCAGCGTAGTACTCTAATGTGTAGATATTCCACACTTTCTTCATCCATTTTTCCATTGAAGGGCATCTAGGTTGTTTCCAGGTTCTGGCTATTACAAATAATACTGCTATGAACATAGTTGAACAAATGCTCTTGTCATATGATAGGGCATCTCTTGGGTATATTCCCAGGAGTGGTATTGCTGGGTCCAGGGGTAGGTTGAACCAAAGGAAAAACATATAGTTGTCCTCTTGGCTATGGGAAGTAGACAAAATTGCCGGGGAGAAAATTGAGATCTTGGGGGTGGGGTGGGATGGGGGTAAGGGGAGATGGGGAGAGAAAAGGGAGAATGGGAGACTGGGGGGAACTTGGGGAAACAGGGTGATTGCGATAAAGGAAGGTTGGATAGGGGAGCACGGAAGCACAATTCTTAGTTAAGGGAGCCACCTTAGAGTTGGCAAGAGACTTGAACCTAGAGTGGCTCCCAGATGCCCAAGCCGAGGTCCCCAGTTAGTTCCTTGGGCAGTTGAGGATAGGGAACCTGAAATGACCCTATCCTAGAGCAATACTGAAGAACCTTCATCTGGTGATGGTTGGAACCTTCATCTGGTGATGGTTGGAACCTTCATCTGGTGATGGTTGGAACCTTCATCTGGTGATGGATGGAGATAGAGACAGAGACCCACAATGGAGCACTGGACTGAGCTCCCAAGGTCCCAATGAGGAGCAGAAGGAGGGAGAACATGAGCAAAGAAGTCGGGACCACGAGGGGTGCACCCACCCACTGAGACAGTGGAGCTGATCTATTGGGAGCTCACCCAGGCCAGCTGGACTGTGACTGAAAAAGCATGGGATAAAACTGGACTCTCTGAACATGGCAAACTATGAGGGCTGATGAGAAGCCAAGGACAATGGCACGGGGTTTTGAACCTACGTAATGTGCTGGCTTTGTGGGAGCCTAGCCAGTTTGGATGTTCACCTTCCTAGGAATGGACGGCGAGGGGAGGACCTAGGACTTACCACAGGGCAGGGAACCCTGACTGCTCTTTGGACTGGAGAGGGAGGGGGAGAGGAGTGGGGGGAGGGGGAGAAGGGTGGGGGGAGGGGGAGAAGGGTGGGAGGAGGGGGAGAAGGGTGGGAGGAGGGGGAGAAGGGTGGGAGGAGGGGGAGAAGGGTGGGAGAAAGGTGAGGGAAATGGGAGGCTGGGAGGAGGTGGAAACTTGTTTTTTTTTTCTCCTTTTCTCAATAAAAAAAAGAAAATGTATAAAATCCACATGATACTAGCTTTCAACTAGGGTGTATGCTTTATGAAGACAGTTGTCCGATTGCAATAGGCCAAGTATTCCAACCACCAGTTCTCTTTGACATCACATTCATTCTCTTCCTGTAGTATGTGGTTCTCAGAGCTACTTAAACTCATGCCCACCACCAGCCCTAGGCACTGCCTGATGATCTTTACAGAGAAATTCTTCCCCATACTTCTCATTGCACTTACAGAAATTCTAGGGAAAATGGCTAATGATCAATTTACACTTAAAATGTGAACTTTTCACGTATATTTTTTGTATAAAAACAAAAACGAAAAGAATTTATATTAAATTATGGTACCTTCTATCACCAATGACAATTATTATAAATAATGGTATTTGGGCTTACAACTCAGGTTTAGCAATTTTTCTTCTTTAAGAGATGATCAGCAGCAATTATAGTAACCCTCCTCTCCATTAAATGATATCAGAAATTCTCATTCTGTAACACTGAGATGTCAGTACTTTTAATATGGAGTGTGTAAATGAACCCCTGAAGCACACTGCTCAAGTGTCAACTGCTGGGTAGGTCTTGAGTAGAGAATTCTAATATGCTCCCAGAGGATGATTGACTTAGAATAACACTGCATAAAAATTAATCTAAACTAGACGTAGTTCTTGGCTGAAATTTGGAGTCTAATATTCCATTCAAAATTTAAAAACTGTCTACTACACCAAGACAGTTAAGTTACTTAACTTTGGAATTTACTTTTAAAATCTTCTTACTAAATTCAGATTTGATCATTGATCTTGCCCCCTCCCACTCCCACAAGCCGTAACACTGACAAAAATTAAGACAGTCAAAGCAGCAAAATGCTTAGCAAGTAAAGGGATTTGTAATGCAAGCCCAACGATTTGAGTATGAACCCCAGTTTCCAGTGTGGAAAGAGAGAACTGATTTGTAAATTGTTCTTGAACCTCCACATTAGGTCCTTGACACATGTTTTTATACTTCCTCATACAATCATATTTTTAAATGAAAGTTTACCTGTAGCTAACAGGGGATTCCCATGTTTTTACTGTATTGTGTACGAGTTCTGAACTTTTCAAATATAGTCCTTGGTCAGTTCATAAATTTCAGCCTTATAAGCATCCTTTTCTTTTGTGAAATGGTATACTCAAAGAACTGGGATTGTGTTCAAAGATTTCTTCATTCTTATTTGTGGTGAATATTTTTACCCAGAATTCAGATTAAAACCAGAATCCACATAACAATTAAATTGCGTTTCCCAAAATTTGCATACCTCCATAGGTTAGTTCAACTTACAAGATCATATTATTTTATCAGTGCAACACTGAAAAAAATCTGATCCACCTCTTGTTTTTTCTACATATAAAACTCTTACTATATATTTATGTAAAAACAAATGATTACTAGAATGTAGTAAGTCTACTATCAGCTAAGGATTTGAGCACCATAAAATGTACCTAAATGCAATGATGAAGGTGAGCATGGTGCAACGTCAGTACTTGAAATGTTGAGTTAGTACTATCACATGCTAAGGCACCTTGAGATACATAACCACTCCTTGACTCAAAAACCCAACAGTATCAGGACAAACACTGTTTTGCAATAAGATGTATTTGAAATTTGAAGAGAAAATGAGTTTAATATGACTCGTGCTGGGTGGCTATAAGCCTAAAAAGGGTAGCTTAACAGAGGGTCTCTTCATAAGAATAAACTTCCTTGTTCAGCTCCATATGGAAGCTCTGAAATACAAAAAGAGCTCTGTTACTAACAAATTGTTAATACAATCTTATTAAAAATTAACAATTCAGAATATAACCAGCAGAGAAGTGAAACATTTCCTGCATATCCCCTATTCTATGTTTACAAAACACAGTACTAAGGTCTTTTTCTCACACATGAACCCTAGACTGACAGCTGTGGAACCTTCATGGGACTGAAGTAGGCCCTCTATATATGGGAGACAATGGTGAAGCTTGAACTACCTGTGAGGCCCCTGGCAGTAGGACCAAGATCTATCTTTGGTGCAGGAGTTAGTTTTTAGGAGCTCATTCCCCATGGTGGGTTGCCATGCTTAGCCTTAATGCTGGGTGGCAGGGGGAGCTTGCACCTGCCCTAACTTAATGTGCCAGACTTTATTGACTCCCTATCAGAGACCTTAGTCATTGGGAGGAGTGGATAGGGGGTTATCTGAGGGAGGTGTGGGGGACAGGAAGAGGTGTGGGGGAGAACAATGATTGGAACGTAAAATGAAATAAAAATATATAAATTTTAAAAAGATATTTTTCTCCAAGCACAGTTTTTCCTTAAAGTCTACATCATAGATAGTTTTAAGTGTCAACTTGACACAATTTCAAATCATCTTGAAAGGGGATCTCAGTGAGAGTTTTTTTCAGGTCAAGTTGACCTGTGGTCACATTTGTGAGGGATTATCTTAATTCCATTAACTGACATCAGAAGGCGCATCCCACTGTGAGGAGCACCATTACATTGGCTTGTGTCCCAAACTGTGTAAGAATGGAGAAGGTAAGCTGAATGCTAAGCATGGAAGCATTCATTTCTCTCTCATTTTTGCTCTAAATATATGTGACCAGCTGTTTCAGGTTCCTATCACCCATGTCACCTTTCCTCCTCCCAATCCAGTTCTTCTGGAGTTCAGGCTCTGTACTGTTTTCTAATCTAAAGACCTGTAATTTTTTCATGTTCTAATATATGTAATCTCCCATTTTGACAAATTTAACCACCACTCCCAAAATTGTGGCTTTGCAGTATCAATTTTGAATTTTCTGATAATATCTTCATAACGTATAGCATATTAATTGTAACTCATAATGAGCAAGCAAAAGTATAAAATGCAGGTCTCTGAATTCTGAATGCATTGTTCTTGTGTGTCTACTGTTTAAGACATGATATGACATAAAACAACTTACCAATGTTGGTTCGGGTTCTTCCTTCTCCACAATCAAGCAGAGAAGTAATAAAAGAAATACAAAGAAGAGACAAATTGGCACTAAGAAAACAATCTTTGAGTCTGGTCCCATGTAGCCTAGGATTAAAAGAAAAACAATAAAAGGAGAAATGCTAAAAGTTTATAAAGACCTTTTAATTTGAATTATTTTAAAAATATCCTGTCAGTGTTACAGAAATGTAGTTAAGGGGGCACAGTTGCCAAAGCACAAATACCACATCAGGGTCTGAGTTTAGCATTCCTCTTGTTGGCAAACATTTCATCCAGAAGAACTACTTTGCTCAACTGTGACATCTATCCCATTTCAATTCCAAAGCACATGTGATTTTGCTTGTAATTTGATGTTGTGACATTGTTCATTAAAAACACATAATACAAGAGTCAAGAGCTTAAACAAATAAGTCCTATGTGTCTCCTTACTGTGAGGAACAAGATCTGGGCTTCAATAAACATGCATATGAGGGTAATGACACTAACCTTACAAGGTCACATTTTAAAATTTGTCTCACACTTTAGAGGCTGAACTGAAGAACAAGAGATGACTTTACTGTTTGGCATTTAGATGTGACATTTTCTTCTTTCTTTCCCTCTTTGGTAGTTTTTCTTTTGTTTTAACAAAAGTAGTTGATTGAACCACAGGCCTTGAGCATGCTAGGCAAGCATTCAAGTACTAGGAGATCACCAGGACCAGAAGTGGAGTGTTAATGTTGCTTCTGCATAGTGGAACTGTCGGTGGTGATACTTAGATTCTAAACAAATGTGTCCTTCCAAGTCTAGTATCTCTGACTTGTTTTGGAATAACATACAGCATGTCAACTTTTAGTTCCAGATCTATAAATCTACCCCCATCTCAATTTGTCTTTGTCTTATTCCCTTGAGCTCTTAGTTGCCTCTAGAAAATTTTGAGCCAAATTCTAATGCTTAGTATCATAAAGATTTACAGGGGTAATTTCCAGAGAAGTGACAAACAGGACAAGTCTCCTGACATGGAAAGTTAACAAGGGCAGGGCAGACAGTTCCTTTCGTAAGGTTCTGTTTGTGTTCTCTCGTCAAGACAATTCCTAAGAACTTATTTTATTGCCAAAATATTATTGTACTACTCGCCCCCCCCCCCCATTAAGTCCAGCTTATGTTGCCCAACAGCTGGTGGGAATGGGACATGACCGGAAGTGTGGTCAAAGGCTCGGGGGTCATGCTAATAAAGAAAGTTGACTCTCCCTCTCCCAGAAGGTATAAAATGAAAAACTCAAAGTTTAGAGGGTAGAAAGGTAAGGGCAGATAGGATGAGAGGAGTTGGCAATTTTAATATGATCAAATTTTAACACATAAAATTCTCAAAAAACAACAAAAGTAGTATTAAAATTTTAATTGTCCTAAAAAAGACCCTTCTGAGGGCCTGCCTGTGTGTGGTCTGTGGCCTAAGCTCACATTTTCACTCTTCAAAATTGTAGGAGAATAAATATATGCTTTTAAACTAAATATGTATAAATATTTATAATATATACAAATATATGCATACCTATAGTTGTCCTATTTTTTCTGTAACTTGAAGTACCCAACAAGAAATGCATCCTAAAATCCTAAAACTATAAGCAACTCCCAAAAAAATTTATTCCTAACTTGTAAGTCTAAAGTTAGACTCTACCAAGTGATACCTGTCAGGACGAAATAAATCTGAGTCATCAAAATTCCTGATGTGATTATATGAATGCAAAAAAATATACATTTTGATAATATAATAAAGAAAAATCTCCAAATCTACATGAAATTTATGGTCTAATTACAAAATATAACTCAATACAATACACATAGAGAGATATACACACATACATTTTCCAGATTTCTGTTTTCTGACAGTGGAAACGAAAATGAAAACTGTAGAGGCAGTAACAGTATTCTTTCTGTTTACATACACATACTCCTCTTGTTGAACTCCTCCTTACCCTGACTATTTTCCTCCAGAACCCCTAGTTGTTGTATAACATATTTTACTTGGCTATTATTTATTTCTTCCCAACGTGAGAATAACATAGTTACAACAAAGTAAAAATTACTGCCGGATATCCAATCCCTAGAACCTAATTCACAGTAGGTACTCAAAAAATATTTGATAAACAAAATTGAACAATGATTCTGCTGTTTTTGTAGGGAGGTAGAGTCAAAAAATCCAGTCTAGTCGAATCATGTGAAAGAGTAACAACTAATAAAAGATTATTGTCTAATTTGTACATTTATTACAGTTGCATCCATGTATGAATATCTAAATAAACAATGCTAAAGTGATTTTCTTCAATTTTGAATAATTACAAGCAATTTGGAGTTTTTGTTTGTTTGTTTGGCTGGTTGGGGTTTTTTGTTGTAGTGTTTTGATTTTTGAGACAGGATTTCTCTGTGTAACAGCTCTGGTTGACTGGAACTTACTCTGTAGACCAGGTTGGCCTTGAACTCACAGAGTTCTGCCTGCTTCTGCATCCTGAGCACTGGAATTAAAGGTGTTTGCCACCAATACCTGAACGTAGTAATTTGTAATAATGTTAATATATTCTGAAACAAACCGTCTAGGCTTTTAAGTTTATATCACTATGAAATTTTAATATCTTTTTGAATATTTGAATAACCTAAATCACTTTCTATTAGCATGGGAACTGATTGTTTCTCCCAATTGTAGCATCTGTGATGGTATGTTGTAATTGTCAGCTTTCTGCTCTGTGCAATTGTCTGGGAAGACAGTCTCATAGAGAGGATGTTTGGAGCAGGTTGGCCTATGGGTATACCTGTGAGGCATTTTCTCATTTGTGTTAACTGAGGTGGGAATAACCACCCTCGATACGCAGCATCATTTCATGGGCTAGGTCCTGGATTGAATGACAAGGAGAGCTGCCTGAGCAGGGGTTAGATGCATGCAGTCATTGTTTTCTTCTCTTTACTGCTGGTGTGAGGCGCTCTTTTAAATTTCTTCCAACTAGACTTCCCAGCTGTGATGGACTGTAACCAGGAATCTTGATCTAAGTAAGTCCTTTCTTCCTCAAGTTGCTTTTGGGCAGGATATTTTAATCACAACAACAGACATGAAGCCAGAACAACATCTCAATTAGAAAAATTACCAGTACTTTGTATTAGATACTTGGAGTCAGTTACAGCCCTTGCTATAAAAGTTATGTTCTTATGAAAATTGAAAGCTCAAAAATATTGATTGAAATGGACTCTGAACCTTCCCCCAAGAAAAACTATGAAATTTTCATAGCAGATAAACGAAATTGCTAAATATTAAATTAACTAAAGACAAATTAAATAAATAAAAATATAAGAAATACTATAATATATAAATTATATAATATAATTTGTTATATTTATATATAAATTAATAAAATATTAACATATAAATTATAATAACATGTAAACTAAATAACTATAGATTAATTAAATATGAATATTGACTATTAAATATTATCATATTAAAGCAGAATGACTTCTACTTCCAAATGAGTACTAGATTTTCAGTAAGCATATTATTTATTGAGGTACTTACTCCCCCCATTTATAGATGATGCTCAAGACACTTTGATCTTCCATTACAAGCACACGAAGAGAAAATAAATTTTCTAGCAAACAGCCCAGAGTTACTTAGTGCCTATCCTTTTCTTAGTGCATACCTTCCCAGCATTCCTCTTCACTCCATTCACTCCAAATTCCGTCATCTGCACAGTATATATTGACTTTACTTCTTACAAAAAAGCACAGCTCTTCACTATCATTTGCTCTTTTTTTCAACTTCATGTCATTTTTATCTGTGGCAGACTGAAAGTCAAGACAAAAAAAATATGGTGTGTTTATTTGACCTAAGTGCAACTGCTGTGATTTCCTTTCTCAGCTTTGAAATGTTTGTGGACATGAAACACCTGCATTGGGATACTAGCAGTGGTCATTCACTATACACTTCTACTTTGTAGCTATATTTTAGTTTATCTTTTGTCCTATCACAGTAATTGGTTACTTGTAATAAGGAACAGCATGTGTGATATGTCACAACTCTATGTAATTTGATGTCCATAATGTCCAGATTAGTCTCTGATATTCCAGGTTGCACAAGGGGGAACAGAAAGGCTACATAAGAAGAATTTACTGAAATAAAAAAGTGTCATGTGAATGCAAATTTTCTGGAAACTGGAATGTTCATATTTAAAATGTATCCCCTACTCTTTTTCTCTGATTAACTTTTGAAGACCCATATAGTAGTCCTCAGTGATTGGCAGAAAACTACCACTTCAGATATGAGACTACCACAAAATATGCGGATACTCTTCATGAGAATCACGGGGGAAACAAAAACTAAAGAAATGACTTCAGATTTCCACTTCAAAGTGCTAAAGAGTTCTTCACATATGCTATGATTGCTTTTCATTTATTTAACTTAGCTTCAGAGCCTAGAGAATATGTAGTGTAAACTTAAGTGGACTGGGAATCAAGTTTTGAGTATACTTCTATTTGTCTATGAAGTCAATAACCTTCCTGGAACACGGATACTAACACAATTACCATTTTTCTATTCTGTGAATTGAATCATTGAGAAACAGCAGTTCACATTTTTTGTGTTTATCAATATCTAAACTGGAAACAAACAAGTCAAAGCAATGTATACCAAAGTGGGGTTAAAGAAATCACCAAATCCTTGATGTTTGGAAGTCATTAGTTTCACAAGTATCACTGCTTTTAAAAGTCCCTCTTCTCTAGGAAAACTCTTATATCCCTGAGGACTCTTAATTTTGACCTCATGGTTGGACTTCAGAAAGTGATTTCTCTCTTTGTGTGAGAGAGATTTTTGTAATTTAATTTATTAAGACAAAATTGGAAATATGTAACTATATTGTCTCCAGGCTCTTTTGCAACTTTAAAATTGGCATGATTTGGTTATACTTTTTTATATTTTCGTTGTCCACTTGATTTGGCTTTCTGAAAGGAAACAGAAATACTTGTTATGGTCCATCCTTCTTTTGAACAACAACAGATTTTAATTCTCCAGTATCCTATTATATTTAAATATTACATTTATGATTTTAGCCAATAAGTACAGCATACCTCCCAGGAAATATCGTCTTCTCGGACCACAACCTCGTAAGTGTAACACCTTGGTGGAATGGGTCCTTCAGGTGTGCTCCATTTCATTCTAATCTCAACGGAATCCTCCATGCCAATGTGAAGGAATTCTGGTGGCAAGGGTTTAACTAAAAAGCAGAAGGAAACAGTTTCAACATGAAAGTTCCTAAGTTAGCAGCAGCCCTCATCCAAAGCTGGGGACACTCTGTAACAGAAACTTTCAGGGACAAACTAAGTGGCTCAAGATTATTCTCCTGATGTGACTGAAAACCAAAGTTGTTTCCCAATGAAGATGAACTTCTTGAGAAATTTGATTATTTGGGAAACTCATTTTTGTTCATTTGGTTTTGATAAATTCCACAATAATAAATATTGGAGGCCAAGAGGAAAAATAAGAAGCCTCAAATCATTGCAATGATTTCCCCATTTTGCAACTTTAGAAACAACAACCAAACTACCATTACTACAACTATGAATACTTTCTAACTAATCTACATGCTCTGGCTACTATTCATCTAACATTGCGCCAGTGTTGCATGGTTTTCCACTGTCTTCACTTACATGATAAGGAAATGTAAATAAAGACCTTAAGCCAATCACCCAAACCTATATAATTCATAAATGGTAGACCCCCAGATGTGGGGGTGCCTTTAATCCCAGTACTAGGGAGGCAGAGACAGGCAAATTTCTGAGTTCAAGTCCAGCCCTGTCTACAGAGCAAGTTCCAGGAAATCCAGAGCTACATAGTGGGACCCTGTCTTGAAAGAGAGAGAGAGAGAGAGAGAGAGAGAGAGAGAGAGAGAGAGAGAGAGAGAGAGAGAGAGAGAGAGAGAGAGAGAGGAGAGAGAGATGAGAGAGAGAGAGAGAGAGAGAGAGAGAGAGAGAGAGAGAGAGAGAGAAGAAGAAAGATAGAAAGGGAAAAGAAAAAGAAAATAGTAAACCAAGTGTTCAAAGCTAGGTTCTTACTCTTAAAGTTCTTGGAATAAAGAATACAAATTCGGAAGTCATGAAATGTTTTGGTTTTCAATAGTTTGCCGTATGAAGCCAAGGTTAATAGATTCTATAATTAGTAATTCTCTAAAACTAAACAGAAGTACTAAATAGCAAAGAGTCAAGCTGGAAAATGAATTGTGATCTCTAAAAACAGTGCTGTTTTATATTTCTCTCAATATCTTCTCTACTTCCTCATATACTCTGCTTCCTTTGTGTTTCTGCCTTTGCACTTCCACAGCTTTTATAAATATCACTCTTTCCTTTTGCCTCTCCTGCTCCCTTAGGAATGGCCAGAACTAGAATGAATAGTTTTGAAGTTGACATTGTTTGTTCATATTTCACCTATATTTTGAAGTTGAAAAACGGTATAGCTGGATCCGATAGGTTCTGTTTTTGAGGATCCATTAACACAGATAAAGAAGTCTTTATAGTCTGATGACTCCAAGTCGGAAAGCTTGCACCCAACGTTTTTTTCATTATCCCGAAGGTAATTGGTACACTGCAAGGCTTGATCCAAGCCCTCGTACCTATAGCAAAAGGAATATTTCAGGAATTGTTTAGTAGCATCTTTTTTTTTATCCCAGTGATCAGTCTTGAGTTTTCTAGTGATATTATATGAAATATACATATGAGCACAGTATATTGATTCAGTAGAATATATATATATATTATATAGCAACATAAACACAAACACATATGTAAAAAAGTAATTTTTAAAAGAGTTCATGACTTTGAGAGGTCACTACAGCCGTTGGAGAGAGGTAAGGGAGAGATAGAAACAATGTAAATATGGTACACATGTATGACATTCCCAAAAATGCTGTTATAAAAAGGTTACAATATAAAGAAAGAAATCATTTAGTACCTGATAGTTGCTATATGCAATATATTCACCAGCAAGAAAATCAGCCTAGTTAATTTCATGGAGCTTCAGTTCAATATGAATCCTTACAAAGAAACTCAAGTATTATTATTAATAGATTTAGATTTTGTTGACTCACCAAAGTTGGTGAATTAAAGATTTGGATAATTAAGGTAACCTTAATAACATTTGACTGAGAAAATTGTTTGAAGAGAAAGCATACTTAAAAGCAGATATAAAATATTTCTAAGTTTAATAAAACAAAAAGAAATCTTCTGATGTTATAAAGTACTGTGATATAAGTCTGAGAAAAACCAACTAGAGGAGGGGGTAAAATGAGCAAGACAAAGTAATTTGTAAAGTGCAGTGTAATTTTTCTCTTTGTCTTAAGCAGGAAATTTCGTCTCATCATTTAAAGTTGACTTTGTTTCAGCAATACAGCTGATGGAAATGAAAGAGATCTTGGGTTGTTAGCAACTGATTTATAAAGCAATGATTGCTGATATATTTTTCTAAAGACTAGCTTGCAGTTCAGAGTATGATTTTGGCTTTGAAAGCAGCCAAAACTCCCTTATGAAATGAAACCAGCATAGTAGCTGATAAGGAGCTACCGAAAATATCTAGACTCTAGTAAAAGAACTTTATACGTCATGCCCAACTTTAGGGATGTGTTTTTAAATTGTAGTCTCTTGGTTAATTGTCTGCTTACAGCCTGGGAGCCTTCATAGCTATGATTTTGTTTATTTATTTTGCTCTGACACAAGAATTCACTATCCGCTGTCTTAGAGCTTAATATGTAGCCAGGGGACTTAGTGTCAAACTCATGATTGTTACATGTTACCTTCTCAAATTCTGGGATGATATGTATACATAACTATCTCGAACCAATGTTCGAGTTTGCAAAGACTGACTGTGTGGCTTAGGTCAGTGAAAAAACTGATTCACAATCTTTAAAACATTAATATTTGTTCATCCACATTCCACTTAGTAAGGATAAGATTATGTTAAGCATGAATGAGTGAAACGTGTATTCCTCTTTTGTTTGTTGTATCTTTGTAATCAATAGTAATGTCTTTTATTTAATAAATGTTTAATATTTATTGATTTATTGACCAAAAATTTGAAATTTATCCATCCAATTCAAGATATTGAAAGTCAAACATTCCCCCTAGATGAATTGTCTGCCAAAATCTACCCAGAATCATGTTTCCAGAGCAGAGTTTAAAGCACAACTCTCAAAAGCACTAATCCTTCATACCCCATCATTAATATATCATGTTTTTCCTTTAAAAGATGCAATCATACTTGGAGCTGAAAGATCACAAATACTACAAGTTTGTCTTTTCTTGATTTGTCTTTCTTTAGTATGCATAATTTCTGATGTTTTTCATTTATCGATGTTATCACCATTGTTTTCATTCTTTTAGTAGTAATCTATTGTGAGTGTGGCCTTCTGTAGACAGGTAAGAGAAATGTAAGGATTGGGTCACATTCACTAATTTTAAAAGAACTTGAGGAGCCAAACTATATACATGAGATACTTTTGAATACCCTCTGAACAACAAAGGAAGTTGTAAGAAGCAGTAGTTCAACAGCAAAGTCAATGAATTAGCTACCACATAGGCCTGTAAGGCTAAAAAAGAATTGGTAAAAGGATGAGCCAGAGGCCATTCCAGATCACAGGATGTGCATGACATGAATAAGGAAAAGAATGTAGAAATGGATCAACACAGAATAGAAAATTGCATAGCAGATTACAGTTTTGGAAAGGTAGTGATACAGTGAGACAAAAACTTGAAAGAAAAATGTACCTACAGTGTGCAGAATGAGCAGGAGGGAGGGGTAAATGCTGCATTAACAGCAACCACCATTTGGGAGGTCATGGCAGTCATCCAGGTGAGGAATGAGAAGGGTCTAAATGAAGGTTCTTACAGTAGATATGGGAAATGAAAAACAGATGAACAACTTAGCAAAAAATGTCAGAGTGTAGTGATTGTCTTACAACAAAGCAATTAAGGAAGTGGCTACTGGTGTAGGGGACTGTGTTTTCACTGATCTGTCACCCATGCTCCAAACGTATGCCCACACAGGTGGCCCTTGTTAAACTCAGCTAACCACAACATGAGAATTAAAATGAAAGAAAGGAGATGATAGTAGGAGAGGGTTTGCTAAGAGGGATTGAAGGAAACAAAGGACGGGAGGGCTAATTGTGACCAGAACATATTAAATAAGCATAGGAAATAAAATCTTTTAAAATTTTTTTTGAGGATCAAGAATAATTTAATAGTATCAGACATAAAATAATTTATCGTTTAGAAGAGCTGCCAGCTTGCCCTCCTTTTCTTCACCACGAAGGGCATTATATAGGTAACATACAGATTTGTCCCAGAGGCATTGTCTAAGAGCAAGAAGAGTATTAACGTCAAGTTCATGTCATTAACTGAGTCACTCTTGATTCTCCAGGAAATAAAATTTTAAAAGGCTCTATGTTTAAAAGCTTCAGGAGCAGTTAAGAAACAGTGAGAAGATCGAGTTTAACAGAGAGCTGCTTTAAAAAAAAAAAGTAAGTGAACAAAATGTACAAAAACTTTTCAAACTATAAACCCAGATATCTATAGGATACAATATTTCCTCATGTGTAGAAATAGTCACTTGATGCCTTACAGTATGCTCAGCCTGAAATTCTCACATAATTATGATTAATTATCATCATAAATATAACTTTGGTGAAGATAGTTGTTGTGGTTCAGTTGAAATATAGTTATTTGTACTGTGTGCTAATCTTGACAGATGTTTGCGCAATGTTGGATTCTAAGTACAAAAATACTTACCAGAAAAACATAGTATAGTTGGCATCAGAATGTGTTACTTTTCCAGGCTTCCAAGAGCAAACCAAATACTGCCAGTTATAATATATACACTTCATATCCTGAATTTTAGTTTCCAGACTTCCTAGGAAATGAATGAACTATGAATACTTGGAAGACATAGTGACAAATTTTCTATGTAATCACAATGAAATTTTATTTCCTTTGGCCTTTCTATTTTATTTAACTATCAGCATAATGAGAAACTCTGCAAAAGGAAGCTATCAGAAATCACTTCACTGTTAAAGAGGATATTGCAAACCTGAAAACATGTGAGGGCTTATTTACTGACACTAGTTTAGGTCAAAATCCTAAATTAATTATTCTAAGATGCTCTCAGAAATGGAGCAAATACCCATTCATGTTTATTAATATGGCTCCATGTTGAGGACTCTACTAATAAGATGTAGATTTATTTTAAAAAATGTTTGGGTACTGGAGTGATGGCTCAGTGATTAAGAGCACTCACTGGCTGTTCTTCCAGAGGACATGTGTTCAATTTCCAGCAACCGCATGGTGGCTCACCACCACCTGTAATGAGATCTGGTGCCCTCTGAACACTATACATAAAAAAGTGTGCACAACAATTTTTTTTAATGCTTGTGGGTTAAATGTGCTCAGAAAGCCACGGCACTAACAATAAAACAGATTCTATTTTGTGCCTAATTGTTACATGTTTTACTGTGTATATAATCACCTATACAGGGGTTAAGGAATTTATTCTCTACATGTTTTTTTTTTCTGATAGAATCAAACGTGTAAAAACTTTGTTTTGACCTGCATCTGTTGTCCGATAAGAAGCTTCCATCCATGAACTTTGAACTTCTGATACATTTGTACACTGCTCTGATAAATGCGTACGTATCTTTCCTTCGATGTCTTTGTTAAGATCAAACCCATCCTTGTGAATTAGATTCCTAGTAATGATAGTCTATTTGATAAAAAAGATGAAATACTTCCATTTTAAAAATACATTGAACAGTGATACATATTAGTAAGACTAAACAATTATTAAAATCTAATATAATTATTCACTATAGTGCCCAAGTTACATTTCTAACAGATATCACCTCTGTAGATAATATTATTTGATAAGGTCATTTGAAAAAAAAAAAGACAGAAAACATTTAGTAAGGGGAAAGGCTCTGTGATAGGACCATAAACTTTTTACAACTTGGAGTTAAGTAGATAACTTTCAACAATGTGAGTATTGCATGGTTAATGATTTGTCGTTTTCAGATATAATCTGAAACTTTCCGAAATCCCATAAAATAAAATAAAAAAGAGCCTCAGAGGTACCTGACAAAAACTGGACAATTTGTAAGTTTTCAAAGGATGAAATCATATATAATACAGTCTTATGTTTCTGGAATGCAGTTAAGCATTTTGCCTAAAACATCGTTCAATAAATAACATGAATTAATCATTGAAACTACCTTGCTGAGTTATAGCACTGATGGGACACCTTCAACAACAAAGCTCTGAATGAACACAATTGATATTGTATAGAAAATCAATAAGCATTCATGGAAACCTTGGCATACATAGAACAAGCAATGTCATGTTCTGTGATGTGTATGCAAAGATTTAACACATCAGGTATTTTGTCAGAATTATAGAAAGTGAATTGATATAATAATAAATTGTAAAAGTACAGCAAAATGCATAAGTATTCTTGAAGCTTACATTCTAGGAGACCTGGTTTCTTTTGTTGTCCTCTCAAAAGTAGTCTTAATACTGGACAAAAGGAAAATATCTTCCTGAAGATGCACAGAAGCTCCCATGAGAGCTTTTCATGTACTGATTAAAACAGTTAAGGCACACAAAGTGGTGGATACTAGAGTCAGTAATACAAGAAAACCTCTAATGAACAGCTCACTCTGCTGTTCCTAGCCTTGCTTTACTTACCTTCCATTTGTCACTATCACCATTTCGGTATTTTAACTCATATTCTAGTGTGCATTCCTTAAAGTTTTCCACAACCACGGGAGGTTTCCATTGCAAATAGAGATAACCTAGTAATCCGGGATCCACTATTTCAAAATCCTGAGGAGGATTAACTGAAATGCAATTAATAAAATATTTATATTTGTCCTGTATTTTATGACTAATATTGTTGAATGTGAATAATTCTCAAATGTTCGTTACATGATTACTTAATAAAATTCTAGCATTTCTATAAGCTATAACATAGCTAGCAAAATGAATAAAGCACCGATAAAAGACTGTAACTGAAAATAATTTTTTCTAGCTCCTGACACAGAAAGACAATTATCACATGTACTCACTCATAAGTGGTTTCCAAACATAATGCAAAGAAAATCAGCCTACAACCACAATCCCAGAGAACTTAGACAACAATGAGGACACTAAGAGAGACTTACATAGATCTAATCTACATGGGAAGTAGAAAAATACAAGATCTCCTGAGTAAATTAGGAGCATGGGGACTTTGGGGGTAGGGTTGAAGGGGGAGGAGAGAGGCAGGGAGGGGATCAAAGAAAATATAGAGCTCAATAAAAATCAATAAAAAAAAACATAAAAAGACTGTATCTGGAAAAGCTTTTAATGATTAGGCTAAGTGAAGGGAAACCATCTCATAAACCTATATATCCAGTGATTTGGCAGGGCGGTGGCTTTTAATTCCAGGGCACAGGCTTTTAATTCCAGCACTCGGGGGGCAGAGGCAGGTGGCTCGCTGTGAGTTTGAGCCCAGCCTGGTCTTCAAGAGCTAATTTCAGGACAGGCCCCCAAGCTGCAGAGAAACCCTATCTTGAAAAACAACAACAACCAAAAACAACAAACAAACAAAAAAAACCCCCTGTGATTTCATTTATACAAAATACCCTATTTGAAGACAGTAGTAGATTAGTGATCACCAGAGGCACAGAGTTTCTCTGGAAGAGAATGAAGGAATTTGTTGGCAGTAGCAGCTTCATAACTTTGTGGCTATACTGAAATAATAATGTCCAAATGCTACATTAGAAAAGTTATATAAAAATAAATCTGTTGAAGTCCATAATTTTTCTCTGTAGCTGTTCTTTTTAAAGAAACCACATAAGCAAAATGTGATTATTGCCTTTCTAGGAACGATGGCTGCACAGAAATACACTAGCTATGGAATCTTTTTAGCGGACATATACACCAGGATTTGTATAATATTACATAAATGGTAGTTATATAAATATGTCTAATAGTAAAAACCAATCAATACTGATTTAGTATCTTGATACAGTCAGTGTAAAACATGGTGATAGATGCAAGAAAAACATATTCCCTATGCCTGAGCAGCTTAAGAATTTGGAGAATAGGCATGTCTTGTGAGTAGTTCATGGGGTTAATTGAATACACAGCTCCCCACAGTTCATAATTATCTGGAGTTTGGCAAAGCAAGACTTTCCTATAAACTTTCTCTGTAAAAACTCGATTAGCACTATAATACTGCCCTCATGCTAATGTTTGGCTAATTCTCTCTGCTGAATGTTGAATTTAACTTCAACTTGCCTAGGGATTCCTCTCAGGCTTTCCATTGAGAATGAATCTGTGTCAAATTCAATATTCATTAGACACTGAAAACTCAGATTTTTCATATACTTTAGTTTAAACTTCCCCTTTCTGGTTTATCCAGTTGTCATAGGACTCATGTTGTGCTAGAAGAATATAATTTTCAAATGCAAGAATATACTCTTCAAATGCTTAAGTTATTTCCTCAAAAAATCCTATAAAAGAGGTCTGAAAATTGCTGTATGATTTGGCATTTTACCTAAGAAAATGTGATCATTAGTTTATCTTCTCCTTGTACATATACAAGAACATATTTTTATATCATGGAAATATTACTAATAATGTTATCTACTAGTTTTATATTTTCATGATAAAGAGTGAAAATCCCATTCATATCCTTTAAGATGACTCCATTAAAAGAAATTTAATTTGTTCATTTACCTTTTATTTCCAAAGAAGGTTCAATTATTGCACAAAGAAGTAACAGACCCAGGCATCTGGTATCCACACCCATAAAAGCCATTTCTCCAGGACTTAGTGTGCTGAAGGCTCCACTCTAAGAAAGAGAAGATGACAGTGGGGCTTTATCATATTCAAATAATCATGTAGGTAAATGTAGCTAATGATATTTCTGGGAGTTCTCTGTGTACTTTCTACTGAGACAGGAATCTGTGATCCTTGAACCATGGAAATGGAAATCAATCTTGGAGTCAATGCAATAGCAACGAATGTGTTCTGGTCCTCAAATAATCAAAACCAACCCAAATAAAAATAATGGTAAAAGCTCAACCATACAGACTTATTGAGACTCTAATTAAGATATAGTGACTTCCAGAAGCCTTCTTCCTGAAATCAAAGCCAGCAGAATATCCCTACTAGTGCTTAGGAGAATCTTAGACCCTCCACCCTGTATTCCTAGTAACCACTTATTCTAGATGCCAACAAAACATGCTGAGGAATGCTACTTTCTACCAAAAAAGTATTTGAAATTATTCTACTCTTAAACTAATTTAAAAATCCACATGAACACCCCAGAAAACTAAGAAACTTGTTCTAGTTCTTCATATCTATTAAATCATCACTGTCTAATCTTAACTATCCCAGATTTGCCCATTTTTTGCTCTCAGTAAATATCATAGTAATTAAGCCTTCCTTACTTCTTCCCTCTTCCATTTACTCTTGATTACAACTCTTAACTCTAATTGATCTTGTCATCAAGGATCTTATCCAGCCATTCCTACCTCCAGCACATTGTCCACACAACTCACAGGAGGAGTGATACATCTAAAGGGAAAATCGGGGCTTCTCCTTTCTCTTCAAAGCTGTAACAGCATTTCATTGTCACAGGACACAGTTGAGCATTTTTAAACTTCAAGAACACTGTTTTTATGATCAAAATTTCAAGGATTAATACCTACAAATATCTATATCATTTTAAAAATATTTTTTCATTTTTAAATTATTTGAGAGTTTTATACATGCATATGATGAATTTTAGTCATTTTTACACCTATTTCCCTTTCCTAACCTCCGTCCCTCCTGCTCAAACACTCAACAATTCTTCCTTCTACATTCATGTCTTCTTTCTGCTTATGACAAACTGAGTTTAATTCATGCAATGTATATGAGCATAGATGGGAGATTATTTACTGGAGCAGGGGTAAGCTATCAGTGACTACATTACCAAGGAAAATGGTACACTCCTTCCCAACCACCATTAACTGTTGTGGGTTGTTCAAGAAAAGCCAGTTTCCCCATCTTTGTGGGTCTTATTCAAATGGCCACTTCTTCAGTGAGTTCAATGTCTATGTCATATCCAGAAGACATTTTACTGTGTGTCTTGCCATATTCATATTCCTACATCCCTTCCACTCTGTTTCCTGAGCTTTCAAAAGAGCTATACAGATATGTGTGCAACAACAACTAATGAAAAAAGAGGATATGAACTGAAAGAGAATAAGGAGACGAGGGGGGGATTTTGTATGCAAGAAAGTAAAGGTGAAAGAAGAAATTATTATAATTTCCAAAATAGAAGAAATGGTAAGGAAATTTTACCATGCTTAAGTTTCCACATTTCTTTTGTAATCTGCATTCCTGGGACCAACCATTTCATAGAAAGTTGAGAATGAAAGTTTATGCATCTAAAGATCTGTGGACCACTTTTATTTTCTCCTTCACAGTTTAAGTGGAAGGTAGAGCTCTTCTCTTATTCCATCCTCTTCAACCAGTTTGCTTAAAACCTTCAAAAGTTAGTAAACTTCAACTGCAACCTATGAGAATCTTGTGGTCAAATCACTGGCCCTTAGTAGAAAGTTTTCAAGTCTTCTGTCCCATTTCTACCTATAGGCTGCTAAAATTAAAGTTCAGCTATTAAATACCATTTACTTGATCAGTCCAAAACACTTAAACAGAGAAAATAGGATAGATAGCACTTGGGGACATTTTCAGATAAGATCCCAACATAAATTTGTGACTTACACCTTGAAGCCTACCCAGCCCTTAGGAAAAGAATACAAAGACAGTTCAATCATTGACTTCCTGGATGCAGGACTGTCACTAGAGCACTGAGACTGGCATTAGTACACTGGTTCCAGGATTTTTTCACAAGGTGTATTTGAAGACAAAAGGAAGTGGAAGTAATGAATGCACACATACACAATATTAAATGTCCATGACATACTGGAAATGTATCAAACAACTCATCTTGACAGAAATCCAAGTTTTTAAATGAAGAACTAACCGCCAAAGAGGAAGACTAGTTGTCCAAGTTCACACAACTTACCACTGGCAGAGGTAGGATCAAAAACCAGGTCTTTTTGACATCCTTTCCATAACTAGCCACTTCATTTTCTTATTCTACAAAGTCGGGCTACACCTATTGTATCAAAAACCTCCTCACACCCAACTTTCCACAACCTACTGTCCCTACCCACGCCAACTACCATACCATTTACTTTTCAACCACATTTCCCAAGAGAACAGAGGAAAACTCTCTCTCTCTCTCTCTCTCTCTCTCTCTCTCTATATATATATATATATATATATATATATATATATGTGTGTGTGTGTGTGTGTGTGTGTGTGTGTGTGTGTGTGTGTGCATTGAGTATAGGGACTTAGGGACTTTGTATGTTTTACCTGGTAATATCCAAATGAATTGTTTATTTTGAATAAGAACCAAATAGCAAGTCACAATATCTCACGAGAATAATATCTCCTACAATGAACCCTGAGCATTGTTCATTTTACAAGTATTATTTCACACAACTGTTAAAGTCAAGCTTGAACATTTATACTGTATTCATGACATCTTAGAAACCAGAGGCTAAGAAACTCAGAAGTTAAACAACATGCCTCAGGTCGCACAAACTGTAAATGCTGAAGCAGGGATTTAAATATAAATAATGTAGAACCAGAGCCATGGATATCAATTACGGCTAGGTATTTTCCATGCCTAAGAGCAATAAGAAAAGCAGCTTCCTGTTTCTACCCATTTGGTTTTATGTAACACTTTTTCTGACACAGTTTCCCATTGAAAGTCTCCTTTGGAATGGCAAACCTACAGTGATTTCCTCTTTTCAGCCTTCCTTCCGCACTTCTTTACAATAATACAACAAAACCCTTTGCTATAAGGTTTGGCCGAGGCTGAGAGTGAAGATTGAACTCAGTGATTGAATGTCTCCCTTGCCTGAGCAAGGCTGTGAGTTCCAGCACCAGCAACCACACACACGCACACACACACAGAGAGTCACTCATGCATTCACAAGCACACACACAAAGAATTGGCTGGATTATCCTTGCATTACTGGAAAAGCTCCAGGTACTTACCAATAATATGATTTCTCAAGAAATGGTATTATCACAGGCAGTTATCACAAGCTCTCTTTGTCCTCTCCTCTCCACATTAGACACTAAATTGAATCTCTACTGTTTTCCTTCCTGCCAGATAATAAAGAACACAGAAAAACTTGAGGTAGGTGTTCCTGAAATAGCCAGAGGGCCAGGACAATGATTCCACAAATCACAAGCAAGAAAAGCTTATGGGTGGTGCTAAATGCCATCTAAGGCCAATTTTTAATTATGACAAAGTATTTTAAAGTCTGACAATTATTATTTGGGGAAAGTAATTAGTTTATAGCCTAGAAGTTTATTAGTATAAATAACCACCTATGTTTTATTGGTACTTAAACTACTGGGCAAATTAGAAGCAAATTATATCTTCCACCTATAAAATAAAGATAATAATACAAGTTTGGCTGGAGTTTCTTGATGTTCAAATTAGATTACGTATATGCAAGTACTTTGAAAATAATAAATTGCTCTATAAACATGAAAGAGGGTTGCTTACAAGGATCTTGCCACTAGTCAAAACTCGAAGATAACTTGCTTCTATCTATTTATCCCCCTCACCCCATTTTTGATGTTTTATATCTCAATGTTGACAACTAGGCACTTAAAATTAATCTCCAGTTTCAAATACTCTTGATGATCCATTATGCTGACTTTATTGATATTTAATGACAATAATTTCTTTTATTTGTTGAGGTTTCAGTAGTGTATAAATAGTTTATTGAATCAGTTTACCTCGTAGGTTTGCAGAACCATTGTTGCAAACAGTACGAGAGAAGTGATGTGACTGTCACAAGACCACATGTTTGAGAAAAGCCATAGAAAAGGAAGGCAGGCAGGAGAAGGAAGAAACAGAAAATATTCTAAAGCAGTGGTTCTCAACATTCCTCATTCTGCAACCTCTTATTACAGTTTCCTCATGTTGTGGGGACCCCCAATCATAATTATTTTCATTGTTACTTCACAACTATAATTCTGCTACTGTTATGAATTGTGTTTTCCAATGGTCTTAGGTGGCCCCTGTGAAAGGGTCATGATCCACAAATTGCAAACAATTGTTCTAGTCCAATAATATATAATTTGTTGCTTTTCTATATTGGCAAAAATAAATAATTTTTCCTAAACTATCTAAAAATCAGCATAGTTTTTTCATTGAAGTTTTTTTTAAAGGAAGAGAATAATTTGCAAAGACAAATAATTATTTATTATAGGCAAACTAAATAGAATTAGTGTTAAAAAAAATTAGGTATTTTCTATTCACATTTCAAGGTATCTAAAGATATAAGCCAAGCAATTTATAACAGAACTTGGAAAGAACGAAAATGTTAGTTAATATAAGAAAGGAGAGAGAGAGAGAGAGAGAGAGAGAGAGAGAGAGAGAGAGAGAGAGAGAGAGAGAGAGAGAGACAATGATTCCTTGATTACTTGTACTGCAGGTAAAATGAGAAAACAATTTGAGGCTCTAATGCCAACTTTGCCATATGACCTTAGAAAATGATCATAGTATCTGTAGTTTATTTAGCCCTTACCATGGATCAATCTCTGTACCAGGTACTCATGCAAATTACCACAGCTAAATTTCTCAAATGTTGATAGCTAATTTTATTACCTCAATATTGCAAAAGAGGCACTTGAAGCTTAGAAAAAGTACACTTTGGAAGGTCATAAAAACAA